AATTAGACCACACTGAACCTGATAGAAGAGAAAGTGGGAAGTAGCCTTCAATGCGTGGGCACAGGAGGCCACTTCCTTAATATAACCCCAGTAGCACAGACAATAAGAACAACAATAAATAAATGGGACCTCCTGAAGCTGAGAAGCTTCTGTAAAGCAAAGGACACAGTCAATAAGACAAAAAGACAGCCTATTGAATGGGAAAAGATCTTCACCAACCCCACATCAGATAAAGGACTGATCTCCAAAATGTATAAAGAACTCAAGAAATTAGACATCAAAATTCTAAATAACCCAATTTAAAAATGGGGTATTGAACTGAAGAGAGAATTCTCAACAGAAGAATTTCAAATGGCTGAAAGACACTTAAGGAAATGTTTAACATTCTTAGTCATCAGAGAAATGTAAATCAAAACAACTCTGAGATTCCATTTCATACCTGTAAGAATGACCAAGATCCAAAACACTGGTGACAACTTATGCTGGAGAGGTTCTGGGGAAAAGGGAACACTTCTGCATTGCTGGTGGGAATGCAAGCTGGTACAGACCCTTTGGATGTCAGTGTGGTGATTTCCCAGAAAAATTAGGAAACAACCTTCCTCAAGACCCAGTAATACAACTTTTGGGTATATATCCATACGATGCTCAATCGTGCCAAAGGGCATGTGCCCAACTATGTTCATAGCAGCATTGTTTGTCATAGCCAGAATCTGGAAACACCATAAATGCCCCTCAACTGAAAAATGGATAAGGAAAATGTGGTACAGTTACACAATGGAGTACTACACAGCAGAAAAAAATAACGACATTTTGAATTTTGCAGGCAAATAGATAGACCTAGAAAACATCATTTTGAGTGAGGTAACCCAGACACAGAAAGACAATTATCACATGTACTCACTCATAAGTGGTTTTTAAACATAAAGCTAAGAAAACCAGCCTACAATCCACAATCCCAGAGAACCTAGACAACAATGAGGGCCCTAAGAGAGACTTACATAGATCTAATCTACATAGGAAGTAGAGAAAGACAAGATCTCCTGAGTAAATTGGGAGCATGGGGACCACGGGAGAGGGTAGAAGGGGAGGGGAGAGGCCGGGAGGGGAGCAGAGAAAAATATAGAGCTCAATAAAGCAAAAAATAAAATCAGAGTTTTCACACACACACACACACACACACACACACACACACACACAGATCCACGAGAGTGGCTAGTACATATGTGGTGTACTCCTTAATGGAGAAAGTTAGTTAAGAAAGGAAATTAAATCATCAGGGAATTCTAGACAAGAAGGTTAGTGTGCTATGCTACGTTTTTAGGTGGTAGATAAAAGGTTAAAAGGTTTATTTTCAGTAAAATTATGAATAAGGCATGGATTATTTAAATCAGTGTGACACTTCTTTTCTCCCAACAAGCACAGAATCAGGTAACCAAACAACCTACATAAACAGGGAGGAACTGATGGTTGCCCCAGACTGCAGTTTCCACGGGCCTGGGTCTGGAGCCAGACTCACTCCTCTAGGTGGCAGAAACAAGACAGGGGCCCAGGCCTCTAAACTGTTAGTTCTGGTCTTTGCTGTTATCAGCTGTTCTGGCCATGGGGAAAAACCAGAGCAGCAGCTTGGGCAGGTAGTAATTCTGGGTCCTTGGAGATCTGTGAATACCTTAGATGGGACGCTCTTTGCCTGGACCTTAAACCCTGACCAAATGCCTGCTGATAAAGATACTTGCAGGAAGGCAGATCTCTGTGCTTCCCTGGGAGAGAGGAACAAGCGCTGGCGGTGGAAAACTCTTTTTACATGTAGCCCAAAGGCATAGAAAACAGTTCTGAACTAGGAAATTAATCCCCAAACATGTAACAGTAAGGGAAGTCAGCTACAGCAAAAAATCTACAGCAAAGAACAGCCACTTTTACTCACAAAGCAACAACGGTAAAAGGCCTGACCTTTTGGTTTAGCCTTTGCCAGATCCCTTGGTTCTGATAAGTCGCTCATGAAAAGATGGCGGAGCTGTATACACTGTGGCTTCTAAGACCCCTGCCACCTTAGAGCTCCTCCTCTTTTCTCTAGTCCCTTGTCCAGATAGCCAACAGTTTCCCCAGCCTGTCCCTCGCCCTGCCTGCCAGTCCCTGGCACCTTTTCCTCCGGTCTTCTTCCATTGCTGCCAAGGATGAGCCTGGGATACACCTTGGCAACGTCACCCAGGCTCGCAGCCTTGTGGCACTTCCCGAAATTGTGCAGCCTTTAAGGTGTCTAGGAGAGGGGAGGGTACCAACACTGTCACACTGACGTCCAGGATCCAGAAAGGGCCGACTCGGGATGGAAGAGAATGGCAAGAAGTGGCTTTGACTCCAGAAGCCCAGGGTCTTCCTCGTGGTGCTGATGGTGGGCCTTCCTGGCTGGTCCCTAGCACCAGAAGGAGCGCAAAGACGTGGTTCTGAAAGGAAACCTAGCAAGTCCCATAACCACCACAGCAAGGAGGCCAAGAGCAAGCTCAAATGGATCAGCTCTAAGACTTCTGTCACCCGTAGATGGTGGGTGGAGAAACCCCACGTAGCCAGGCAACGCACATAAACACAGGAGCTTCCTCATCCCAGATTGGCCTTCAGCATATGTCCAACTTTCCTCCTCTTCCTCCTTCTCCCCATCTCCTCCATGTAAGCATTGTAGCTTAGGTGGAAAGGCATTCTGGCAGTCGGGAGCCAAGGAATACCACAAAGTCACCATAAGCATTACAGCACCAGGGAAAAGTTTGCCCGATGCACATAGTACCAATTGCGCTCCCGCAGGGGAGAGTTTTCCCCAGCGAAGGAGTTACATGGCTCTGCTCAGGCTCTGGTGAAAGCTGTTGGAGCTGGGCTCCCCGATTGGCCAAAGTGTCACATCTCACAACAAACCTCACTGAGAGACTTGTTGGGGAGGAAGACTCCAGGAGGGTGGTTACCTCTAGGGTAAGACACAGCATGAACTGAACAGGGTACAAAGCTTCTGTAGGGTTTCCTGGAGGGGGCGGGCAGAACTTTCCAGGGGGGCTTAAGATTTGTGGATTTTTATGGCCTAAATCTGGGCTCAGGAGTTGCTGGGATTTTGTGAGCCTCAGGTGGAATTCCACAATCTTGTCGCTGGGGCAAGCTCAGGGATTGGCAGGATTTCAAGTTCTAGTCCTGGAGTCTAATTGGGGTCAGGGTGTTTTTCCTTGACCCGTTTTACCCTCCACTCCAGATCCTCAAGACCCCCTCCATCTGAAGTTGCAAGATCCTCCAGGCTTGGTGCTCCACTTTTCGGCTCTAGACAATGTCAAAAATTATTCTCCTGTCTCTGCCTCTCAGTGCTGAGGCTACAGGTATGGAGTACTAAGTATTTGTCATGAGCCAGTATCAAATCTTTGTACCTGTTGGCAAGAACTTGACTATCCTAGAGTGTTTGGGTACAGAAAATTCTACATGTACAAGGTCAAACCTCCATGCTCCGCATTGCCTTCACCTATTCTCAGCACTAGAATTTTTTTAAAAACAAAACTTGGAGATCTTGGTCAGTTGTGGTAGTGTAGTTATTTAGTTCCAACGCTCCAGTGGCAAAACAGATAAATCTCTGTGGGAAGGAACGGCCACTTGTTTGTCCCAGCTGCCCAGCTAGCTTACACCCAAAATAACCACACAGAAACTGTATTAATTAAAACACTGCTTGGCCCATTAGCTCTAACTTCTTTTTGGCTCTTACATATCAGTTTAACTCATCTCCATTAATCTGTGTATCACTATGTGGCTGTGGATTACCAGAGATTCTAATCTGCATCCATCTCAGGCAGAAGATCCATAGCTTCTCTCACTCTGCCCTTCTTCCCAGCATTCAGTTCTGTCTTCTTCGCCTATCTAAGTTCTGCCCTATCAGGCCCAAAGCAGTTTCTTAATTCATTAACCAATGAAGGCAACACATGAACAGAAGAACCTCCTACACCATTCAAGGATAGTCTAGAATACAAAGCAAGTTTCTGGCCACACGGGGCTACAGAGTGAGACCCTGCCTCAAAAACATAGAACAAAAAGTTGAAATTTTCTCCTTTCTCTTCAATAATGTACTTCGTGAAATAAAAGACATTTGCAGAAGACACCAGATGGATGTACGTGGTTCTGCCAAATTAACATACAAAGAAAAAAGAAGTCTCATTTTCACAAAACAAAAGCACATGTGGTGTATTTAGTGAGATAATTCAAAACAACCCATCACATCCACAGTGATAAACTCTGTAGTTCTTTCTTAAACATCTGTCATGTCTAATATTTTTAAATGTGCAAACTTTAAAATCTACAAATGTTTATGAAATTTTTGATAAGATCATCTTTTGGTTTCCAGCATAGAACCATCAATACTCTATTCAACACTAACAGAGTAAATCAACCTGCTATATACCTAATGAATAAATTGTTCATAGGGAGTCCTTTCGAAGTGGGTATTCACTCAACATATTCTGTTGAAATAATTTTAATTATCATTTCATATCATTAGCTATTAATGGAAACTGCACAAAGTAATTTGAGTTTTTAATTTATTTTAATCTATATAATCATTCTGTGATATATGGGTTTTGTTTTGTTTCCATTTTCTAAAAACTAAGGGTGAGGGACTAAGGAATTACAAGGACCACACAATATATCCACAGCCAATATTCTGACCAGGTCCAGAATTCACCACTAGACAACGCCAACATTGAAAGAGTTCTTTAAAATATTTCCTCAATCGTAGAGTCATCCCTAAGATCCTAATATAGATTCTGTGAGGCCTCTTTAAAGTAGACATTTTCTAGTCAAATATTTATGTCTTTTCTCTTTTAACTGTTTCCAGTTTTTCCAACACCATGCTTTTAGGAGCTGTCCTAACTATGGGCATCAATTTGCAGTGACAGCATCTGTCTGTACATGTCATTGTCCTGGGCTCTGTTAATCACAAAAGAAACGCACATCTTTCTGAACAGAATGAACTAATTATGAGATTGCTTCAGTTCTATTTTGGTTTTATTTATTATTGAACATCCCTATGCTCACAGTTATTTCTGTCTCGATTGAACTACAATGTAATCACACTTGATAAGATTTATTCTATTCCATTTTGTTAACTGGTAACTACACCACAATGACAGTTAAAACAGGGACTGAATTTCAGGGATTACTTAAACTTAATGACTATACATCATTTGAAGAGCTATTCAAAAGCTAAAGAAGTGGAAGATGAATTCTTATAGAAATTGCTATTTTATATAAACACTGCGGGAGAGAAGTTGAATTTTAGATGTCTAGAAAAGACTGCATCTTTACAATTTTTGAAAAGCACATGAGAGATTTGAAATTTAAAGTGAAGTAACCTATATAAAATACAAGAAAAGAGTCTAATACATTTTAACAACTTCATTAACAATAAACAGTATGCAGAATAACAATAATGGGAAGAAACTCTGTCCTGGTTAGTATTTCTGTCAACTTGAAACAGGCGAGGGTCACCTGAGACCTTCGTTGAAGAAATTGCTTCCATGAGAGCAAGTCTGTGGGTGTTTCCTTGACTGCTGATTGATGTGGGTGGGCCGAGCCTACTATGGATGGTGCTGCGCCTGGGCTGGTGGTCCTGGGTGGTGTAATGAAGTCGGCTGAGTAAGCCATGGAGAGAAAGCCAGTGAGCAGCACTCATTCATGACCTCTGCTTCAGTTCCTGCCTCCAGGTTCCTGCATTGGGCTCCTGCCTTGACCTCCCCCATTGATGAACTGGTACAGCTGTGAGCTAAACCATTTCCTCACTGAGCTGTTCTTGTCTGACATTTTGACACAGTGACAGAAAGCTAAGTCACAGAATCGCTAGAAATGTTATGACAAAACCACTACTTTTGCATTTTTGATAGTGCCTTACAATTGAAACAAGAAAATCAATTTATTAATGGTTTTCAACAGGGTACTTAACATACTTACTGTCAAAGCTGTTTCATTTTGCCAAAGGCTATATTAAACAGATTATAGATGGGAATACTTAAACAAGTGTTCTGTGAGACTATCATGGCAAAATGCTTGCCTTATTTAACTTTTTCAAACCACCAGAATTATTTGTAATTTATTTAATTCATTCTGAAGTATTGATTCAGTTAGTTTTGAAATTTCTGTCAATATTACCATCCATATTACTTAAATTATAGCTACTACAAAATGTTAGGTAAGATTTATCCACTGGTTGAACAGGAAGAGTCTGAAGTGAGACGGCTTGGAAAGTCACGCAGAGTGTTTAGCAGAGTCCTGGGTACAATGAAGGATGATAAAACAGAGTTTTATTATTAGATACATAGGTAAAAAATCTCATTTAATACAATAACCCAAGGTTATCTTTACTACACAAATGACAAAATCTAAGACAAAGTAAGTTAGGTCATCCAAAGTTAAAATGTATCAGACACAAAGGCCTTTACACACAGAGAGGTTTCCTGTTAGTGTCACCTCCTGTTAGTCTTCTTGGGTCTCACATGACTTTCCTCTTCCACACAGCTAGGTTATTAGACTCAGACCTCACTCACTCAGACTCCTGCGTTCTCTCGAGGGTTGATCAGAGGTACCTGGACTCCTACCGCATACTTGCCTATGATGTCACCTTTGTTATTACAAACTAAAACTCTGTCTCATAACAGTGTCTTTACCAAGCCCTGCCTTCTTTTGTGAATATTCCTACTCTTACTAAAGTGTGTCTGGTAGCTACTTAAGCATTTAAATGAACCAATTAACTGAAAAAAAAATGGAATAATTGAAACATTGTAAGAAAGGAAACAAAGCGGATTTGCAGAAAAACATCACACATCTCCCCAATGATTTAAGCAGTCACATAAAATTTTTGCATCTCTTGTACCTGAGATAGACGTGGTAAATCACCAAGTCCTCTGAACCAGAACTTCTAACATTGCTAAAATTAAGAAATTTGCTAAGTCAGTTCTAGTCAACCTACAACCCATTGAAAACATGAAGAGACTTCCAAAAACATGCAATTTGCTGTGCAGGTCAGTGTTACAATGGAGAGGCTGAGAACACAGGGGTGTGTTGGCTAGACCTTCCCTCTGAGATGGAGAACTTTCTCAAGACAAACCCAGCTTTTCTCAGGGAGATCTGTCGACATGTGACACATTTTAGCGTTTGCCCAAAGATCTACTGTTCACCACAGAGGTCAGGTCAAGCTTGCTTAAAGTGACGCAACTGAAAACATAAAACTCTTAGTAACTTAAATCATACAATATAGAAATCGATACTTTAATAATAACACATATTTTAGTCTAGGTTCAATTACATTTACCTAATTATGAAATCCAATTGTATTAATATGACACAACAATTTGTTATTCATACCAGTAGGCTTATTCTTAATTTGAAAAATTGCAGAATTTTGAGACTCTATAGATACAATATGTCAGTATTATTGTGAGGATTCTTTTGGACACCGAAGAAAGAAACTAGGTCAGAAACTATTATCTTATACAACTGGATAAGAAGTACATTCTTAACTGTCTAGCTGACCGTTTATTTTAGCCTATGATAAGTTCTTAAAGAAAAACAGTATTTTAGGCAATATAATTTTAAATATTTACATACCTGCTGTGAGTTATCTATAGTCTCCTTGCCACTGATTTTCTCTTTCAGTGGGATTGCCACTGCCTCAGGTTCTGTAATTACAGTAAATTATGAAAAACAATCACCTAAAAACAAGTATTTCTGGTAACACCAACACAACTCCTTTTAAATTAGACATCATTTTACTCAATTTAGTAAAAGTCGCTTGTGAAGAAGATTCATATTTTGAGATAAACTTCCAATTATCTAAAATATTACTATGTTACTTGGGCAGACCCTAAATGTTGCCATGTTTGAGATCTGTAAACACTCAGAAGATCTATTCATCCACCAAAAAAAAGTGAACTTTCTGGAAATATATTTTTGATGACAGAAGTTACAAAATAATCCCACATTAGCTCAGAATTACATGTAATAAAGGGTTATTTATTTAGGGGAGACTCACAGGTTGGTGTGGGAGAATTGTCTGTATTCTGTCAATCATATTTTAATAAAACACTGATTGGCCAGGTAGGCAGTATAGGCGGGAAAGCCAGACAGGAAGTAGAGGTGGAGCAAAGAGACTGGGAGTATTCTGGAAAGCAGGAAGCTCCCTCGGCAGTTCTGCCCAGACCACCGGAGAGGAAACATGTAAGCTGCCCAGCTGAAAAAGGTACTGAGCCATTATGGCTAACATAGATAATGATAATGGATTAATATAAGTTACAAGGACTAATAAGAAGCCTGACCTAATGGGCCAATCAGTTTATAATCCTATGGAGTCTTGTGTGCGATTTTCCCTGGGAGTTGCTGGCTGTGGGGTACTGGGTGGGACAGGTACCCCAATAAGCCGGCCGTCATGTTACATATGGCGTCCAGCGTGGATAACTGCATTCACATAAAGCCTGAGACAGCTTGGGAAGTAATTCTAGAACAAAATGACAGCATTGCGCGTGGTTTCTTGGTAGCAGCAATTTCTCAGGTCTGCTCTGCTTGCTAGAGGCAAGCAAACACTCTCATCTAAGAGAGGTTTCCTGACTCAGCTTTAGCTGCAAAACCTTGCAGCTCTTTTAAAAGGTCCTGCCACGAAACACTTAAACGGTGTTGATGAAAAGCTGAACACATGCTTTTCGGCTTTCAGCCGTAGCAGGAAAAAAGCTGTGCTGCTGTTTTAAAATGCCTGCTTTCTGGGCTGTCCTGCCAGAGCAAACTCTGACTCTTGCAGGCAGGCAGTCCGACTGAGTGTGGTCTGTGAGCAGAATGCTGCAGCTTGCTTACTGACACGGACTTTGAAACGCCATAGAGTTGTGGCAAGAAAAATGGCTGCAGCCGGTACCTCAGCCACGAGTCTGGAAAGCTAAGGAATGGGCTGGATCTAGCTGTCAAAGCCACGGCTTTCATCCTCTCCTTAAAGACTCCTGTAGTCAGGAAAAGAGAGATATACAGTAAAGAGAGATTCAAAGAGGAAGAAAACCTCTAAATGGTTTACAGTGTGATAAAAATATATGCAGGCTAAAGGTTAAAGTCATTAAAAATAAAAAAGAAAGAGAGAAATAGGGTGTGGTGATACACACCTTTAATCCCAATGCCTGGGAGCAAGAGGTAGATTGACCTCTGTGACTTCAAGGGGCAGAGGTAGATTGACCTCTGTGACTTCAAGGTGTGACAGTACACACCTTTAAACCCAATGCCTGGAAGGCAGAGACAGACAGATCTCTGAGTTCAAGGTGTGGTAGCACACACCTTTAATTCTAGCACTGGGGAGGCAGAGACAAGTGGATCTCTGTGAGTTCAAGGACAGCCTGGTCTACAGAGTTATTCCAGGACAAAGATATACAGAGAACCTGTCTCAAAAAGTAAAAGTAAAAATAAAAGAAATAGAGGTTAAAGTAAAGCCGCATAAAGATGGAAAATACATAGAGAATCTTGATACTGTATGCTATTATGCTCTCTGTGAATTGTTTGAATGCTGAGGAAGGAGCAACAGCTGCTAAAAGACGTTTGCTTATAAATGCTGCAGAATTAATCCAAGATAGGTATTTTGAAAATACCTTGGCTTCAAAATTGAAGTCAAAAGGTATGTTACTTTGGAGAAGAGGTTTTGCTTTTGTTTCCACAGAAAATGTGAGGCTGTGGATTCATTCTGAGTTAAGAAAAATCAGGTTCGAAAAAGGAAGACCACCTGAGAAATCTCCGATAGGAACAGATGGCCCAGATGACAGAATTCTACGTGCAGAACAGATTCAAGACTGCTGCCTGAGATGATCAAGACTCACAGGATACTTCAGTCAGGACTTGATTATAACTCTAAATTTTCTTTAGATTCCCATAAGATCATCAGCGCCCCCAACCAGCAGGAAGTAGCCTGAAATACTATGCCCACATTCCCAACAAATGGACTATGGGTATTTTCCTTTGTTTAAAAAAAAAAAGAGGGGAATGGTATGGGAGAATTGTCTGTATTCTGTCAATCATATTTTAATAAAATGCTGATTGGCCAGGCAGGCAGTATAGACAGGAAAGCCAGACAGGAAGTAGGGGTGGAGCAAAGAGACTGGGAGTATTCTGGAAGCAGAAGCTCCCTCAGCCATTCCTGCCCAGACCACCGAAGAGACAACAACATGTGAGCTGACAGCTGAAAGAGGTACCAAGCCATATGGCTAACATAGATAATGATAATGGATTAATATAAGCTACAAGGACTAATAAGAAGCCTGACCTAATGGGCCAATTAGCTTTATAACTTATAGAGATCTCTGTGTGATTGATTTTCTCTGAGACTTGCTGGTTGTGGGGTACCAGGCGGGAACAGATACCCCAACAAGCCAGCCCTTCATGTTACAACAGGTCACTGTCCTAGATCACAGTCCTCTGCATGAATGGGGAACAGGAACAGAGTCTAGCAGCCGGAAGGGAGAGCCGGAAGTAGGAGAGGAAGTGCACTCTTTACAGCTGTATTTATAAGAGACCACGCCCAAGTGGGCTGGTATCTTAAAGGCTATTGGCCAAAGGAGCTCCCACAACATATTTTAAATCATATTTTAAAATATAATGGGAAACAAGTCCACCCTGGGATGGTGTGAACAGCAATGCGTGTAAAGGCTGCATCAAGACATCGAATTCTTCCTTCATTGATACCTACCATGTTAATGAGTCAGCACTTTTCACTGTACCTGGAGGTCATTAACTACTGGGGTGGCAGTCAGTAAACCCCACAATCCTTCTGTCTCCGCCCCCCCCCAGTACTGGGATTACAGCACTCTTGTGTTGGTATTTGCATGTGCTGACATTTATTCTAAGATAAAACTTGTTCTCATTTATTCTAAGATGGAAATAACAGTGGGAAAGAAGGAGTCACTTGTAGAGTGTGTCCTTCTCCTGTGAGGCACACTGTTTTAGAAACCAGCTCCAAAAGGGAAAATAATGAACACTGAAATAAAATGGAACAGGAAGGTGAGACATTCGCATGGGTGAATATGTTTGGTGACCAAACTATTGCCCATTGTATAGTATTACATCCTGCTTCCTGATTACAGATCAGATACAAGACTGGTTAACACTACTAACTTAAAAGGGGCATAAAATGGTGTGGAACACACTTTAGACACAGAGTGTGAATATACTTAATGCCAAATCAATTAAATTTAATTTCCCTTTTTATTTTATAATTTAAAGAGTTATTTTAGTTTTAATTATGCACACATGTATGTTTGTGGAATTAAATAAAGATAGCCACAGTAAAGCCTGGCAGTGGTGCTGCATGCCTTTAATCCCAGCACTTGGGAGGCAGAGGCAGGTGAATCTCTGTGAGTTTGAGGCCAGTCTGGCCTACAAGAGCTTGTTCCAGGACAGGTTCCAAAGCTACAGAGAAATCCTGATGGCTTGGGCAGGGGAAGCTATCCACAGAGACCAGAGGCATCAGCTCCCATAAAACAGGAATTATAGGTAGTTGTGAGCCACCTGAGGTAGGAACTGGGACCTGAATTTAGGTCCTTTGCAAGAACAGCATGCACTTTTAACTGTTGGGCCATCTCTTCCTTTGGTTTTCTAAAAGTAAAAAATAAAAAAAAATGGTCCTTGCCATATCTACAGGGTGAGTCAGAAGCTGTGGGTTCAAGCTCATGACTTGAGTTATTACCTTTGTATATATTACCTTTGTGTACAGGTTCAGGTGTGCATCAGGGATCCAGATCAGCACTAAGCACTTTAGCCTTTGGAAAAACTCATAAGTCTTCTAGTAAATGCTATAGATCTCTACAGATAATGAAAATCTCATAAGTCTTCTAATAAATGCTACAGATCTCTACAGATAATGGAATTATAAACTGGAGAATTTAGAGTACTAAGTTATAAAAGTAGAAACATCTAAATTAAATCTTCCATTTAAAAACCTTTTTCTTGAGTCTGATCCGTCTTATCTGTGTGATTTTCACTCCCTAGGACTGGCCCCATGCCCTATGCAGCAGCCTAGTCTGGCTCTCACCTACCCAGGCCATATCACCCTCCAGGCTTTGCTCACACAGCGTCTGGCAAATTCCCTGGACCTGGCCTGACTTCATCAGACAGGCTTAGCCCAGGGAGCACATGGTGCCCATATCCACCTCAGCGAGTGATGAGAACCTTACCGGCTGGCACCATCCCCAACCCTCAGAGGGTCTTGTATTGGTCACACAGCCAGTATACTGGTCTTGCCTGGTGAGTATGCATGATCCCAGCCTATTCACGCCATCCTCACAGCTCCATAAGTAGCTCATGTACCTCAGCTTGCTCTCTTGATCACCACTAAACTGGAATCACACTGTCTCTCAAATCCAAAATCAACAGTGAGTATCTGAAGGATTGACCAACCAACTCATACCTGATTTGAAATCAATCAAGACTGGACAATAAAAACAAAAACAAATTTCTACCCAAAAGAGGCAGCCGAGAATCTCACAATAGACACTAAGCCCACATCCCCATGTCTCATAGAGAAGTGCAAACAACATGGAAGACCCACAAACTCACTAATCCTACAAAAGCGTTCTCCAATGAGAAGTACCTAAATGAACCCCAGGGCACAGAACTTAATTATTGATAATTTATCAATAATTCTAGGGGCTTAAGGGAGACG